GGACCTGAAGGAGTGAGTCGAGCAACAGGGGAGCCCTACGAGGGGAGTATTTTCTCTAGCGGAAGGATAGCAAAAGCAGTTAACCAATGCAAGTCCGTCGCGGATGGGAGTGATGCGCCCCTGCAGTGAGTTCCGGCAGAGGCGTTTAGGCGCCAAGTATAAAAGGGCGGCGGCGCCCGCTTAAGGTGGTTGGTGTGTGTGGTGGAGGTGTTGGCTATTTGATGTGCTTGTTTTTATAATTATATCTATACAGGTAGATATATGTACGTATATGTGCTTAAGTAAGTAAAGCTTGTGTGCTTCTGTCTCCTTTTAGTGCCTTCCTGCCTGGGATTGGGCTCCCTTCAGGGTACCTAAGTGCCCTCACTGTGGTGTGTTACCCCTTCAGGTGCCCCTGACGCACTCAAAGTGCCCATTTTGAAGTAAATATGAAACCCTGAGGCCTCTTCTCTGGCGTTCCTCTGAGACGTTTTCCTGTGGGGTTTGGAAAAGCTGAAGCTTAAATAATATCCTTAATGCTCTTAAATGAAAATAATCCCTTAGGCTTAGTTTTTCTACGCTTAAATCCTCCACAGCATTTGCAGAGACGCTTGAGTACATGTTCTTGCCATAAAAAGGTTTAAAACTAATGGCAAATTATGGAAAGAACTTGATGCCAGTCTATGTGGATTTTTTTTTTGAAGTGTCCGCAGGAATGTATATGTTTTTAAAGCATTTTATTTAAAGTCTCATAATAAATACTTCTCCTGTGGGTTTTCCCAGCTGGGAACACAGAAATCCAACAGCTCTGCATAGGAGAGTTTACATTTTTCACCTCTGGTTTAACACGAGTGATTCAAAGCCAGCAAGCTGGGTCATTTCTGGAAGTTACAGGAGAGCCGCGCTCCATTTTCATGACAGAGTACAGCTTTTTTCCAATATTTTGCCTATTTTTGGGTACCTTTTAAGTACAGCCTCAGCCTCCCTGCAGCCATGTACCCCCCCCAACTCTTAGGACAGTTTCGGGATGTTCCACATCACAATTTCACCCCAATCAAACCCCCCCCAAAAAAAGCACATTCAAGAACAAACCAGCTGTGTTCGCTCTCCCAGAAAACAATCTTGTGATTCAAAAATAAATAAGAGGCAAAAACGATTCAGGATGGGGTTTTTTTCCCCCCCCCTCGTTTTGAGATGATGCTCAGAAATGAACCTCAGTTTGCACAAAGCGCAGGTGAAAACCTCCAAGAGGCCAGGACAAAGGCTTCCACTTGAGTGAATGCGTTTAAAAAAATGTTCTTTTTAAAGTGGTCAATAAATGAGATGGGGAACCAGCAACATTTTCATAACATTGAGCTAAATTCTCCATCTTATCTTTCAGCTCTGGCCCTGCTAGACGTCTGGACCCCGTGGGGAGCCGCACCTGGGATAAAGTATGGGGAAAACAGATAGAAAAAAGGGAGAAAATTCCAATTTCGGGCAGCAAACACCCAGCCTTGACCTCACCAAGCAAACTGGGAGCATTTCCATGTGTATTTACCCTCCTGGCCATCGTTTCTCCTGCTTGGGCTCAAGCCACAAGGCTCCCAGAGATTATTTCTGTTAAGGGAGAGGTTTGTGCTCATGTCCTGGGCACGTCCTTGCCTCTTCCCGCTTGTGTATCCCAAAGGGAAGGTTAAGGAGCGAAGCAGCTTTTGGAGAAACTGGGCCAGGGGAGCGGGGAGGGGACAATTCCCACCAGTCCCACGCTGCTCCCTTTGCACAAATGAGTTTCTTAAAAAAGCAGAGGAGAAATGAGCTCAAACGCTGGTCCCAGAGCACAGGGACACCCCCAGCACCCACTGGTGCGTGGACATGGGGCAACGGGGTGGCTCTTTCTGCCCCCTCCCCTCATATTTTGCCCTCTGGTCACACCCTGGTGGTGTTTCCAGTGCAAGAAGGGAATAAAAGCGTTGGGGAGGCAGAGAGCTCATCAGCATCTGATGAATTAATGAGTTAATTAGCCATGTCCAAAACCGCCCGGAAACACAAAAAGAAACCCAACCTCCAAACCGACAACGAAACCAAATCCTCACATGCCCAGCAGAGAGGGAGAGGACGGGGATGGGGGGTGAGGAGGGGCAGAAAGGGGGGGCTTCAAATGAGGTCGAAATCTAACGAGCTGATGCTGGCGATAGGAGCCCTCCAGAAATTAAAGCTGTTGAACTGCAGCAGGCCGTCCTCTTCGTCGCAGGGGTCGCGGCCGACCCGCTCGCCACCCAACTTGCCCACCCCTCATTTGG